GGGTGTGTGGGGTCTGAGGGCGGTATATGGGGTCTAGGGGCTTTGTGGGGTCTGAGGGGGTGTATGGATTCTGGGGGCTGTGTGAGGGGGGGTGTGTGGGGTCTGAGGGGGGTAAATGAGGTCTGGGGGCTGTGTGAGGGGTCCCAGGGGCCAGAGCGGGGCGGCTGTGCCCGGGAAGGGCCGGGCTGAGCCGCTCTGGGTTCGCAGGGGTTCGGGATAATCGGCCCCGAATCCCGGAGGGAAAGGCGCGGCGGGGATCAGGAGTTATTCCTCCCGGGGGGATTGCGAGCGGTCCCACAGAGGGTTCGGGGCAAGTGGAGCTTCCCTGGGGAGGGAGAAGGAATTACGGAGCGCTGAGTGCCCTGGTGGCTCGGAGCGGAGCGCGGTGTGACGCTGAGCCCGGGTTAAAGGTGGTTGTGCGGGATGGTGCGGGCTCTGCAGTCCCTCCAGGAGAGCCCGGGCCGGGTTATCCCCCGTGCCGGGGCAGGGTTATCCCCCGTGCCGGGGCAGGGTTATCCCCCACGCCGGGGCAGTGGCACCGGGGGCTGTGTGGAATCCCCGAGCCAGGCCGTGCTGTGTGAGCAGAGCAGCAGTGCCGGGTCTGGCACCAGGGCACGGCTGAGTCACACTGAGATGGTGCAGCTAAAGGTGTCCCAGAGATCCTGCCTGAGGGGCTGGGACAGGGGCTGAATCCCTGGAATCCAGCGGGGGATCAGCTGTGTGGGGGGGGAGGGTCAGGTTTAGTAGGATTTTCATAATCCCACGTTGTAAGTGCTCCAAGTGCAGGTTTAGATCTCCTTTGGGTCAGCAGCAAACTGCAATCCTGGGAGGGACTGCTGCACTCCTGCTCACTGATTCCATTCCTGTAAAGAGGTGTCCTCCTGTTCCTTTCCCACTGATTCCCAGTTGAACTGCAGACCCAGCTGAACTGAGCCCCAGGACAAACTGGGTGTTTGCAGTTTCCCAGTAACACTCTGACCAAGAGAGGTGAATCTTTCCTTCTCACAGTTCTGGCAGTGGATACCTGACTGGAAGTTTTTGGGACAAGACCTCCCAGAACTTCCCTGATCTCACTGGATGGGTTTTTGGACGCAATTTGTGTTTTTAGCTGCCCATCACAGGCACAGGTG